CACAGCTATCTGAATCATGTTCCTGTATCCTGCACTCCTCCATCTATGGCTTCCCAAACTGCTCTTTCATTTCAAGCGTAGTCTGTAAACTCTCTGGACCAGGATGGTCTTTTTGCTATGGCTGTACAAAGTCTGAAAGACTCTGGGAACCTGTGGGGGTTACCACAAAAGGAGCAAAACAGAAGCAGTTGCAGGAACTACTGTTAATTTAAAAAGAAAATACGAGATTTTAGGGCTAGTGGCCTTTTAAATTAATTTGATTTCACCCTGCTCCTGAGCTGTCAACATGTCTCAGATTTTTGTATGGATGCTGCATGACTAGTATTGTAGAAAGAGTTGGCAATAAAGTGAGAAACAACTGGAGATGTTTTGCAGCCAGTGTAGGAGGCAGTCTGAAATTATGGGCTAAGCACAGCAGCTGGATGTTTTTGTTAACCAATCAGTAGTGAAATGATCAATGATTAAATGTCAGCATTGCTATTAGGTTTCAGAGTTAACTACTACTTGGGACATGAGACACCTCACATCTTGTTAATTTGATAGTTTCAGGATAGCTGCAGAAAGAAGAAGAATACATCAGTTCACACTGATTCATGAGTGGAAGATTTTCTTTATAGGCATAAAGCATAGAAATCTAGTTTAAGAATTTATTTGGTCTTCCAAGCTACACTTCTTTAGTCATATAAGAACTTATATCACAAATAAGCCATTTAGGGACTAATTTTCAATTTTTAGATGCCCAATTCAAAATATTTAGGCTGTGATATTTAAAGAAGAACATGCAGGGAACTTTGAGTTCTACTGGAACTGTGGATCAACTTCTAACAAGGAGACCCTACCTAAGTCTCTTTATTTCAAACCTGTTACCTGGCACATGTAAAATTACCATATTTACCCAAGATGACCCTGACTTTAAGGTGACCTCCCAAGAACTAGATTCTATGCATGAAAAAATTATAAATTTGTTATAATTTTCCTTGCATAGAATCTAATTATCGGAGGGTTATCTTTGATTTGTCCCCCTCGCTGCAGGGGGGAAGGCATTGGGGGGCAAGTGGTGTGGGGAAGTTAAGCAGCTTGCTCCCTGCTTGTGCTTGCCCCACTGCCTGCACCCCTACAGCCTTGCCCCCCCCCACTTCACCCTCCGCCCCCTTACCCTTCCTCCACACCAGCAAGCTCTGTCCCCATTCCAGCCTGGGGCATTGTGCATGGCCCCAGCCTAGCCCCTGGAACAGCTGAGTAGCTTGTTAAATTGGAGGGGGGGAAACGATTTTAGAATCGAGAAAATACAGCAGATGTCATTTTGAAAACAGTTGCCAGCACTGCAACTGATTCTGTGCAAGTGTACTCCTGAGGTATGGACACACGTACATCAGAAGATGTTGCTGAAGGGGAACATTTCAAAAGGGCAGCACCTGTTACATTCTATTTATTATGCCCAGACAAGCAGGGAATGATACAAATACAAACTATTATTAGAGAAAAGGAAAAGTAAGTGGTGAAATTAAAAGCACTGCCTCATTGCAATCCACTAGTATAAGGCAGTGTGCAGGACTTGTGGCTGACATGGAAAGACTTTTGATTTTGTGGATTCAGGATCGAACTCAGCGCTGCGTGCCTTTGAGTTTAGCCACCATTCAAGCCAAGGCTTTGAGTCTTTTTGACACTGTGAAGCAACAACGTGATGAGAGATCCAAGGATGAAAAATTCAGCGCAAGCAAGGGCTGGTTCATGCATTTTAAAGGCAGGTATGCCTTGCATAACATCAGGGTGCAAGGTGAAGCTGCTAGTGCTGATGAGACTGCAGCTCAAGATTTTCCTAAAAAATTGGCTAAAATCACTGAAGAGGGAGGTTATTGTGCCAGGCAAGTGTTCAATATCAATGAGACTGGGCTGTTCTGAAAGAAAATGCCTTCCAGGATGTACATCGCCCAACAAGAAAAAACCATACCAGGTTTTAAAACAGCTAAAGATAGGCTTACCCTTTTGCTTGGTTCAAATGCTGCGGGTGATTTCAAGCTCAAACCCTTGCTTGTTTATCACTCCGAAAATCCCAGAGCACTTAAGGGTTATGTTAAAGGCAGCCTTCCAGGCATCTGGAAATCAAATTGTAACGCTTAGGTGACTGGGGCCCTTTTTGAGGAATGGTTCACTGACTATTTTGTGCTGGCTGTTCAGAATTATTGTGAGAGGAACAATCTTGCACATAAGGTTTTGTTAATTTTAGACAATACCCCTGGACATCCTTACCCCTGGACATCCTTTGCAGATTTAAAGCCTAACATCAAGGTTGTTTTCTTGCCCCCCCGACACAACATCGCTGCTCCAACCTATGGACCAGGGGGTCATTTCATCTTTTAAGGCTTACTACCTTAGAAGAAACTTTGCCCAGGCCATCAGTATCACAGACCAGGAAGGTGGACCAACCCTCAAGGATTTCTGGAAGGGCTTCAACACCCTGAATGCAGTGAAGAACACTGGAGAGTCTTGGAAGTAGGTTAAGGAATCCAACCTCAATGGTGTCTGTAAAAAACTGTGCCCAGAATTCGTCTCTGATTTCCAAGGATTTGCAGACCAAGTGGATGAAGTCACTGCTGATGTTGTGAAGGTGGCTGGCCAGCTACAGCTAGAAGTTAAAACAGAAGATGTTGAGGAGCTGCTGGCCTCATTGCCAGGAACGGACCAATGAAGACCTTGTCTGTCTTGAGGAGCAAAGGAAGGCAGAAAATCAGGCCCAGATTCAAGAGAGTCCTGCTCAAGGTAACATGACAACAAAGTAGATGAGTGAGGCCGTCAAGCATTTGGAAGCTGCAATGACAATTTTTGAAAAAATGGATCCCAACCTCAAAGACCAACAACTTGATCTCTAATGCCAGTGTGTGCTACAGGGAAATTTACAATGAGAAACAAAGGGCAGCAAAACAAACATTCCTGGATCAGTTTCTCAAAAAGCCATCAAGTGGCCCTAAGTCTCCCCAAAATTCTCTCCAAAGAAGCCCATTCCATGACCCTGGTGAAGGTGTTTCTTCACCTTCTGATTAAATAAAATTAAATAGTTGATTTAAATATGGTGTTTATGGTCATTTCTATAAAAAGTTGGGCATCAGGCCCTTGGTCAGGAAAGTAACCCCCTATTATAACATTGTTTCTATGGGAAAATCAGATTCGACTTACATTGTTTTGACTTAAAACGCCTTTTCCAGGAACATAACCCGCTGCCTGTATAGCAAAACCACTCCAACATTATCACTAGATGAAGCAGTATTAAGTAGTTCTGCTACATTTGTATCATTCCCAGCTTGTCCACATGGAAAAATCAGAATGTAACAGCTCCTGTTCTTTCAAAATGTTCCCCTTTTGAGACAGTTCCAAACATACCCTTTTACCCATGTAAACTCCTTTGGCTTGAATGGGGACTCAGGCAGGTCCAGAGCTTAGGACCGTCACCTCTATATATGAAAATGTGTGTTGTGCTTCTAAGAGGGGTTAACAAAGGCTTTAAGACACCTTTTCCTCCATATTCTGAGCTGCTATGGCCCTCTAAAGTCAGGCAGCCTTAGAGAGTCCCTTAAGTGACAGTGATCTGTTACCAGCAGTCTGTTTCCTCCTTCCCATACATTAATTTGTCTTTGCCATTCAGCTAAGTTAAAATCCTATCATAAACTATCTTTGTAAGCAAAGGTCCTGTGATTAAGTTTTGCATATTTTTGCCATTAAAAATTAACAGAGAACAGGTTAGCCCAAGGTACATATTTTACCTAGATAAAATATATACACAGGCATACTACTCACAGTTATTATACACACTTAACTTTTTTGTTTAGGATTTCATAAAACTAGAACCTAATAATAATTACTACCTTGATCAGCAAAGCATTCCTCATTTGCTGTGATCAACCAGAAAGACAATACACACAGGCTGATGCTGTTTGCAGTTATTGTACACTTTCAAAAATAGACAGAAGGCGGGGCAGTATAACACCTTATAGCCTAACTCATACAGAGAGGCGTGAGCTTTCACAGGCTACAGCCTACTTTGTCAGATGCATTTACTTTGTCATAGCATCTGATGAAGTAGGCTATAGTGTACAAAAAGCCCATGCCTCTCTGAACAAGACAATCTAAGAATCCACACCACCCTGCCTTCCTCCTGACTTCAGACTAACACAGCTAAGTACTACTTTTTTCCTTCAAAAAAAACAGGTTCATGCTGCAGATAATGTATTCTTCCCTTATGCTGTTTTCAAAAGTATTAGGGAAGACCTGTGTATTTTCAGTAGATAAGGTCTGTTTCTCACAAGAGACACAAGGACTTTAACAAGCATTTGATCAGACCTCTAGGGAGAAATTGCATATCAGAGTTTAGAAGCAGTGGGAATGGGAAATAATGTCCTTCAAAACTGAAAACAGAGTAACAACCTTCTAACCACTTGAATTTGGAATCATTTTTCCCCTTGACAGCACATGGTTTGAGACTGCACACAACAACAAAGTTTAAAAGGCAGAACAGATATCATACAACCAGAACTGGTTTGCCTACGGATGGGATCATACCAAATGTCTTTCATAATTAAAAGATATATTTTAATAAACCAAAAAATGTAAATATTAACTAGAGAAGTAAGCTAAACATTGAGTTACTGTTGTAAATTCCACTGCTGAAATAAGAAACATTTAAAAAGTAACTAGAATATAGAAGTGAGATTTGTGAATAATACACTATCAAAACAATATATTTTCAAACTTACAAAACAATTTGTTAACATCCAGAGAGTGATTAAAAATGTAACAGCACACTAAACAACTGCAGGTATATTTAACTTGAAAAAATATATAATTTATTTTGTTCCCTGTGATAAATAATTTGTTATAAATTTGATTTTTTAAGATCTCTCTTTGCTTCCAATGCGCCACATAAATAAATGGCACTAATTTGTTAAGCCAATAACTTTTCCAAAGTAAAACCTAAATGAAGGAAAGGACATATGCAGCAGTGAATCGTTCAAAAAAATTTTATTTAATTATTGCAGAAACAGTAATAGTCAGTTCAAAGGAAAGGTTCAAAACATCTAAAACTTTGAATACATAAATTTTCTCTTACAATTTCACGTCCCATAAAAATTACAAGAAAGTGAAGCTTAAAAAATGCACAACGCAGGTAATGAGCTCAAACCTGACTTTTTACAACATTTTCAAGAACATGAGAAACAGATTTTTATAAAATATTTATATTGTTACACTTCTCCGTTAAATCTAATGCCTTAATATGCAGAGTTTGCAAGATGTTGAGACTTTGATCATGTACAATAGATACAAAGAATTAATATCATTCATACAAAGATGGAATTAGAAACTAACAGTATCCTAAAAGCATAATTTTAAAGAGTACATGCAACAGTCAACAGTCCGTGTGTCAGTTAACATAGGCATTACTCACTATTTCTCATCAGACAGAAAAATGAATACATGTTTATACTTATTTACTTCAATCTCCACAGTTTTCTGAACCCAGCCTGAAGACCTACTTTCTTTCAGAAAAGATATTTAATTCTCAAGCATTTACTTCAAATGGCTTATTTTAAAAATGGTGAAATACCGCCCTAAGATTGCACTATAGCATTTAATAAGATGCTAGGATTTATGGGAGTCTTACTTAGGAAAAAACTAACAGCGAAAATTATTCTTTACCTATACGGATTATACTCTGATATTTGTAAATGTTCCTCCCAGCTCACCCCACTCCATTCTGTCTCGAGAAAATCAAAATAAAGAAACACCTCATAAAAATGAATACAGTACCATAATGCAATCAGAAGTGCATGGATTTTAATTGAAGCTATTCTAGTTCCACTTACATTGTCTTCAAATTGTCCCAGCAGCAATAAAAATAAATAAATAAAACAGGTTCTAGAGCTGGGGCAGGAGAGGAATCTTCTAATTAAGGCACAATAGTCAGTTTTCACTTTGTAAAGTAGTAAAATAATCAATGTGTTGGAATTTAAGAACCTCATTTCCCCAGCTGGTCCAACCAGGCTGCAGACTGCGAGCAAACAACTCCAAACATTCCATATCCGGCTTGATAAATTCTGTCAGAACCTCTGTGCAAAAGAATAGAAAAAGATGAAGATGAAAAAAAAAAATCAATTTTCTCTGAGCTGTTGGGAGATGAAAACAGGAATGTTTCATTAGAGACAGCAAATTAATTCTAGGGATTTCATCAACCAGCTTAACTATTTATAGTCAGAAAGTAATTTGAAATAAGCGCCCTTGAGATTCTGAACAATAGTGTCAAAGCCTTCAATAGCCCTGATTTATCGCTTTTCATTTGGAAGCAGGGAATAAGGAATTCAGCACCTACACAGGTGACGTCTCAATTTTTCAATATTGTTCTCATAACATCTCCTGAGAACTAACACAACTTTTGCCATAAAAATACAGCATTTTCCCCCAAAATTGTAATTGTTTAATTCTTTCCTCCTAAATATCAAGTATTCCTGATTATTTATTAAGGTTGCATTTTTCTATCAACAAGTGATTAGTGATGCTGCCTTGTAAAAACATGAAGGATAAACATCACTTTAGTGTGGTATAGCACAGCAAAACATAATCGAGTATAGAAGCAATATGGTAATTAATAGAGACTTATTCTGGTTCAGGATGAAGACCTTTCTGGAAGCATTAAAAAAGTTCTATAACACTGCTGTTGTTTCTTTTAGCATTAAAATTGTAATCTAATATTTCTCCTGCAGTTGGACTTTTAATGCCAAATGTTAGTAAGTAGGTATTTCATTTATAATATGGGTTATTTCATTGATTGTGAGCAATGGACTGGGGGAGGGAGCCTATCTTGATTCTTGGATTTTAGCTGAAAGATATCCTAGCAAATATGCTTTTTTTAAAATGGATTAGTTGTCAGACAGATCAATTTAGCTTGTGATTGTAAAACGAACTCAATTTCAAGGCCTAAGTATAGAGATATTAAATGAAAAATAAAAAGCCTATGAAGCAAAGACTTAAAAATGGCATAGTAATGTAGGAACAATAGCCTAGAAAACCAGCCTAGACTAAGAATATGTTCCAGCAATGTAATGTTTTGCTTCCAAGACTGACAAAACCCCCTCCTTTCTCAAGAGTGATTTTGCTACTTTCCCCTTTAACTCACAGGGCTTTCACTCTTCTTCCTAGTTCGGAAGACAGTCTACATGCGTTTTATTATCTAAATTGATCTCTCCTCCTGCTATCATTTCAGACAACAGAATTACATCTAATCAGCATACATCAAAGCAAGGATGGGAACAGTTTTGACTGGAATCCATTGTTTGCCTGTCAAAGTTGCCAATCAAAGTGAGATGGTTGATCTGAAGCTCTCTCATCTGTTTTAAGTTCACATCGTGAATTGCTTGTGATGCTAGACTCTGGGCATGCCTTCAAAACTTTGGTGAAACAGTCCCCAGCCTGTGGCTTGTTTGTAACATGTTGTCTGCAAAACCCTCTACCAATGTTCACAACTGCAGAAATGTTTGCTTTTTTTAGTTTGACAAGGAGAGCAAAGATGCTGCTGCCCACGCAGTGTGTTACTTGTTCAGTAATGATGACCACTCTCCTTGTGTGGGTGCTAGTCTACCTTCTTCCTTGTCTACCCTACATATTCCTTTCCACAAATATCTTAAGTCACTTGAAACTTATTCAAAGTAGTTTCCGGATGTTTTAGATTTTGGAATATGCATGTAGCACCAAATCTTTCACAAACTCACAGGAATACTCCAAGTTGCTTTTCATTTGTTGCCATTTTGCCATTTATTTTTGTAATACCATATTTACTCAAATGTAAGATGAAGGTTTTCTCCCCTAGTCAGCATAATGAAAAAGCTCCTTGTCTTACATTTGCATACAAGGAAACCTCACTAAATACATTTTCTGTCATAAAAAATGATGCCAAAATCAGCATATGCTCAATACTGGAAACTGACTATCAAATTGATTTAAGCCAGCCAACACTGGCCATGACTAAAACACATGGCCCATATTGGGCAAACATACTGATGGGAATCTTTCGTATTTTTTTCCCCTTAAAAAAAACAAACAAAAACAGACGGGTGTTCAATTCATAGGGAACTGGTGGCACCAGGTCTGGAGGTACTGCAACAGCAGGCCAGCACCAGGTGGGCCAGAGCCAGCCCTGACACCCTCCCCTTGGTGCCAAAAGTGCTATATTTGATCTTAGCCAAAAACACTGAGATGCTGATGGGAACCTACCACAGGAATAGATTAGTGTAGCCCATTTGAACATGATACACAGGACACAGAAGGGCACAGTGTGCTCAGTCCCCCTCAGTGACAACTCTTTTTCCCAGTCATGGTGACGCACTACATTGCATACATTTTTACTTCCTCTTTGCTCCCACAGCTGAGTCAATGCCTTTCTTTCCCATTTCCAATTATTCCTGTTTCTTCATCAGCCTTAAGTGTCTGACACACCTTACAAATGGAGCTCCAAACACAAGCAGTTCACCCAGAAACCCTTGTCACCCCCTCTGTCCTTTGCATATAACATCATGCCAAGTTTGTACTATATATAAGTAAGTACAAAAGTGCTGTGTCAAAGTGAGTTTATGGAGTACCCGTGCTAAAATTTTCAGCAGTTTTCCAATTATTCCTGTTTCTTCATCAGCCTTAAGTGTCTGACACACCTTACAAATGGAGCTCCAAACACAAGCAGTTCACCCAGAAACCCTTGTCACCCCCTCTGTCCTTTGCATATAACATCATGCCAAGTTCCTGTTTCTTCATCAGCCTTAAGTGTCTGACACACCTTACAAATGGAGCTCCAAACACAAGCAGTTCACCCAGAAACCCTTGTCACCCCCTCTGTCCTTTGCATATAACATCATGCCAAGTTTGTACTATATATAAGTAAGTACAAAAGTGCTGTGTCAAAGTGAGTTTATGGAGTACCCGTGCTAAAATTTTCAGCAGTTTCCTGTGCGGGCCGGGTGTGAGCCAGGCCCTTTTTTGTGCTCTGCGTGGGCTGTGACCAGCAGCCCGGGCACATGGGGTCGGAGAGAACGGGCGACACGCTAGAATTAGGCACGTACTCGTAATGGTAGATTTAAAGATTGTTTACTTACACCGAAGATGGTTGCGGTGCAGGCTGGAAAACTTGCTTGAGTTGCAGTTACAAACAAAACAACACGAACAATCACATGGAGTTTGCTAGGCTCCACGGAAACAGAGCTCCGGATGCCCTGGACAAGCGCGCCACCAAAATAGAAACCTCGTAGATACGTCTTAAAAAAAAATTATCGCTCGAAGACGGAAAGAGGTGGGCGGTGGATCAGGTCGCCAAACTCCTCTGAATCTCACACAGGGTTTCTATTACCCTGCCGTGTACCCAGAGTCCCCACGAGATGGATGTGGAGTCCTCTTCGGCTTGGGCGGAAACCGCTCAAGCCTCTTATACGGCTAGCAGGCCAATCGTTAGCCGCCACGTGGGAATAATTTAGAACTAGCCACTAGAGGAGAACAAATTTGCATGCGGGTGGCGGGAACTCCTTTGCACCAGGCATTTCTCTTGCAACTTGAGAAATGCACCCTGCAAAGGAAGCTACAAATTGGCAGGAAATTCTCCCTTGCACCGGGGTTCTCCTCTGCAGCAGAAAACTCCACCATGCAACGAAGCTGCAGTTTAGCGGGAATAATTCTAGTGCCGAAGCACACACAAAATCATACCTTTGGGTTATGACATTTCCAAGAAAGGTAAAATGCATCAATTGTGGATGAACTAAGTCTATGGGTACCCATAGTAATTTGTCTATATGCAGAAGTTTGCCCCTCACTTCCATGTGCTCAAGGAGAGCAGGGTCTGAAAGTAAAGGGGAGGAGGGGGAGAAGCTGGGGTGGCAGAGAGCAAAGGAGCCACCTGACTGCCCCCCGCTCCAATTTATTTTCCTTGCTGCAGCAGTGGAAGGGGAAAAATTCAAAACAAACTTCCAATAATTAAATTATATACCTGGAAAACTATAACAAATTTATAAATTTCCTAGAAATTAAATCTAATTATTGGGGGGTCATTTTATATTCAAATAAATACAGTAATTTTGCATCAGAAAATCTATTCCTAATACTAGACAGGATAGAAAGTGTAAGCTTGATGTTTGCAGAAGACAGCCTGGCAAGTTTAAAACAATAAAACATACAATCTGACAGCAAACTTGCTGCACTCCAGGATGGTTTTTTGGTGTCACAAGAGTTCACCTAATTAAATACTACTTCTGCCAAACGGTGCTGGTACCATTTTAGAACCAAAAATTGGAAAAACCTATAATTTTTTTCCCAAGCTCCACAACTAAAGATTTTTGTGCTCCAATTTACTAACATTTTGTCAAAGTGCTCCCAAAAAATCTATTCTGATCACCTAAGAAAGCCCAAGCAGTAGGGTATGTCCCTTCCTAAGCAGAGGGGGAGTGAGCCCCAAGCTTTCAATGAGCTCCACAGTGCCAGACCCTGGCATTTGTGTGAAACCATGCTGACTTCAATGGGAACCCATCCATTCAGAGCTTATCACAGGATCTGAGGGGTCCTCCTCACATAAAATAAATAAATAAAGCCAAAAGCCATTTCTTATAACCTGATTAACAAACAAATAGCACCCCCCACTCCCCCCGGAAGAGCAGCCCATAGCCCCGTCTCGCTCCCCACCCAGGCCCTGTGACCGCGAATTCCAGCCCCAGGCCCCATATGCGGCCCAGGCTGGGCAGCATCCCCAGCCCTGCCCCAGCCCTAACCCTGCTCCTCACTATGGGGGGGGTCTCAATTTCCTCCTCCCCACCCCACACCAGACTTACCTGCGGAGCTGCTGCTCTCCAGGCCTCCTGGCAGCCTTGTGTATCTGTATGTGTGCACATACACATGGTACCCCCTGCCTGATCACCCTCCTCCCACTCCCTGCAGCCCCTTGCAGGCTGGAACTTTGCCAACCTAAAAGAGGAAACGCACTGTTTCCTGCATTTTTCTCCTTCAAATGAGAATATCCAGGTTTTACTGCATTTTTCCACTGCAAACAAAAAACCCAGTTCCCTGGTAATATGGCACAGCAGGGCCACGGTGACATTCAGCCCAAGGGATGTGTGGCCTGGGCAGCGGATGACTTGGGGAG